CTTGGACTAGGGATTCAAGTCCAAGACTATTGGTCCAATCACGTTCAAGCGAACGGGAAGCAGGAACGAGTAGGATTGGTCTTTATGTGATCAACCTGATAGGTTGTTATCTGTAAAGTAGGAGTGGCTATATTAGCCGCGAATGTTTAAATACTGAGCAGTTTCAATGGACAAACTGTTCGGGCTATCAGATGTTGTACCGTGTTGGTGAAGTGATCGTCGAGCTGAATAAACCTGAGTTTTCGCTGAAATCACTCTCCGACTCATTGTTAAGCGCCGGACTTAACAATTGGTGACGAAGGTGGGATATTAGTGCGGGTAGGCAGCCCCGCTAGTCCCAAACCCACGACGGACAACAACGAGCAGCAGCTCGCCGTGGCCGATCAGCAACGGGCACCACCAGAGCCGGTGGCAGCGATTGCAACGATGGCCAATAGCCCGAAGTTCGAGCTGTTCAAACCAGCGACCGAGGAGTGGGAGGCCTACCTGTCCAGGTTTGGCTTCCACCTCAAAGCGCACAATATCACGACAGAGGAGAAGAAGCGAGCAGCCCTCCTGAGCTCTTGTGGCAAGAGCGTTTTTGATATTGCCCGGTCCCTGGTAGCGCCAGCGGACATCAAGACTGTTTCGTTTAAAGAGCTGACCGAGAAGCTCCAGGCGCATTTCTCCCCGCAGCCGTTGAAGATTGCGTGCCGGCATGCCTTCTTCAAGAGGAGTCAGGCATCCAACGAATCGGTGGTGGAGTATGTGGCGGCCTTACGCAAAGCTGCGAGACCCTGCAACTTCGCCGACGTTGAAGAGGCCCTCCGTGACCGGCTGGTGTGCGGCATGAGGGACGAACGGCTACAGCAGTGGTTGTTCGCAAAGGCCAAGTTGACCTGGGCAGACGCCTACTCAGAGGCCATCGCCGCCGAAGCAGCCGACAAATCGACCCGTAAGGTGCGTTAGCGATTGGCAGCTACGGAGCTGCGCGTCCACCACCAGGGGGCCGATAGTGAGAGCGAGGGTGAGAAAAGTGACGTCTGCACAGTGAAAGGGCGAGCGGACAAGCGGACCCCAGTGAGGACTTCAAGCAACTCGGCCTGCACCGGTTGTGGCGGGAAGCACCTTCGAGAGCAATGTTGGGCCAAGGACGTCAACTGCCGATCGTGCGGCAAGAAGGGCCACATCGCTCGTGTCTGCAGAGCACCCAAGAATTCCACGCCAACTGCATCACCCTGGAATCAACGCTCACGAGCAGCACGCCGTGAAGACAGCTGCCAGACGACCTCGAGCCTGTCTGCTGCACCCTCGGTTCGCCGCTTCGGGGTAACAGGGAAGATCCATGTGACCGTCAGCCTCGACGGAGTTCCCTGCAGCATGGAGGTCGACTCTGAATCGTCCGTGACCGTCCTGTCTTCTCATGCGTGGCAGCGAATGTTCCCGACCAGAAGCCGGCGGCGTTTGAAAGCCGCGGATACACAGGTGTCCGATTTCCAGGGGAAGCGCATTCCTCTGGCGGGGAGGGATACCTTTCTGGTTGAGTTTAAGGGCAAGTATGCTGAACTGTCTTGCTTGATTGCTGAGGGGAACCGAGTAAACTTGCTCGGATTGGAGTGGTTTGAACCACTCGGTATAGGCATTACCGGGGTAAATGCTGTGATGGAAAATAAATGGTCTGTATTGTATAAGGATTTTCCTGATGTGTTCGGGGGTGGTCTTGGAAGGTACAAGGGCTTCCCAGTGTCTTTTGAACTCGATCCCGCAGTGACCCCAATCCGACTGAAGTATCGGAAGGTGCCTATTCCACTTCGGCCGAGGATCGAAGCAGAGCTAGACAAGCTCATCGCCCAGGGAGTGTTGAAGCCAGTCCCATTTAGCAAATGGGAAACTCCGATAGTCACGCCCGTCAAGGCAGACGGCTCCGTGCGTATATGCACTGACTATAAGTGCACGATTAACCGTGCCTTGCAGCAGCATTCCTACCCTGTCCCAGTCATCAGCCATGTCCTGGCGTCTCTGGGAGGGGGGGGAAGTGTTTGCTAAGTTCGACCTTGCCCAAGCCTACCAACAGCTGCCGGTGACCAGGGAGGCAGCGGAAGCACAAACGATTGCCACACACAGGGGAGCGTTCAGGCTGAACCGGCTCCAGTTTGGTGTGAACGTGGCCCCAGGAATATTCCAGGGTCTGATGGAAGGTTTGTTGAGGGGGGTTCCTGGAACTGTCCCCTATTTTGATGATGTGTTAATAGCTGGGGGGTCCGATGAGGAACTTATGTCCAGGGTCCGAGAAGTGCTGAAACGCTTCTCCGAGGCAGGACTAAAGGTAAAACAGTCCAAATGTATTGTGGGTGTTCCCAGTGTGGAATTTTTGGGGTTCAGGATTGACGAACAAGGTGTCCACCCCACAGAGGACAAGGTAAAAGCTATTAAAAATGCCCCATGTCCACAGAACAAAGAGGAGCTCCAGGCATTCCTTGGACTCCTTAATTTCTACCATGCCTTCCTCCCTCACAAGGCATTGGTAGCGGCCCCATTACATGCGCTCCTACACAAGGATGCAAAATGGCGGTGGGGTACAGAGCAGGTACGAGCATTCGAGGGAGTCAAAGCACTCCTTGCTTCCAATGCAGTGTTAACTCATTATGATGATGAGAAAATGTTGGTTTTGGCTGCAGACGCGTCTCCTTTTGGGGTGGGGGCGGTGCTCAGTCATATAATGCCAAACGGGGAGGAAGCCCCCGTCGCGTTTTATTCCCGCTCTTTGTCAAGTGCTGAAAAGAACTATGCACAAATTGACAAGGAGGGACCGGCGCTCGTCTCCGCTGTAAAGAAATTTCACGACTTTTTGTACGGTCGTAGATTCCTCCTTGTGACTGACCACAAGCCGTTGTTGGGAATATTTGCCCCGGACCGGCAACTTCCCAACATCATGTTGGCGCGCATGCTGAGGTGGGCTCTGTTTCTGTCAGCCTACGACTACGATCTGGAACACCGGCTGGGTAAGGCAATTGGACATGCGGACGCTCTGAGTCGCTGCCCTCTGCCTGGCCTGGACTCGGACCCGGCTCCAGCTAACGAGGTGTTAGCAATTGATGAACTGCCCCAAGCCCCGATTACTTCAAAGGACATTGCGGCTGCGTCCGCTAAGGACATTGTAATTTCCAGAGTCCTGAACTGGGTTTGGAGGGGTGGCCTATGGGAACTGTGGAGCCGGAGTTCAAATGTTTTAAAGCGCGCCAAAATGAACTGTCAGTAGCTAAGGGATGCTTGTTGTGGGGAAACCGGGTGGTGGTACCTCGCAAACTAAGACAAAAAGTGCTGAATTCACTTCACAAGGGCCATCCTGGCATGGTCCATATGAAAGCGCTAGCCCGCGGATACATTTGGTGGCCTGGGCTAGATGCGGACATAGAGGAATGGGTTCGGGTGTGTGAGCCTTGTCAGCACGCTAGGCCTGAACCGCCAACCGCCACTCCGCAGAGATGGGAGTCGGCGGGAAAACCCTGGTCGAGACTGCACCTCGACTTCGCAGAGCCGGTACAAGGGCAAATGTTCTTGGTAATTGTGGACGCCTATACAAAATGGCTAGAAGTGGCGTACATGCGCTCGACCACTTCTAGTGCTGTCGTCACTGTGCTGCGACAGTTGTTTGCCACTCACGGGCTGCCAGACGTACTCGTGAGTGACAACGGCGCACAATTTACTTCTGAGGAGTTCAGAAGGTTTTTGTCTGACAACAGAATCAGACAAATGACAGCGGCCCCATTCCACCCGGCCTCCAACGGCCAGGCGGAGAGAATGGTTAGAACAACTAAAGAAGCCCTTGCAAAGCTGGTATGTGGTGATTGGGGGGTGAAACTTGCATCGTTTTTGTTGAGACAACATGTTACCCCTTGTTCGGCGACCGGCCACAGCCCGGCCGAGATGTTAATGGGTCACCGTTTAGCAACGCTGTTAGACAGGTTGCATCCAGATTTGAATGATCTAAAACCTCAACAGCAGACCGAAAGTCTGAAGGTCCGGACATACGAGCCTGGGGGAAAAGTGTATGCTCGTAACTATGCCAGTGGTCACTTGTGGCTCCCAGCCACTGTCACCAATGTAATCGGCACTAGAATGTATGTGGTACGACTTGCAGATGGTCGCAAGTGGCGTAGGCACATAGACCAGCTGAGGCAACGGTGGGCAACTGACCGATCCACTGTGCAGCCGGCTGAGTCCACTGAGGAATTCCCAAGACCTTTAGAAGAGGCAGGTACTGTAGAGCCTGAGGGCTACAGTAGTGGGCAAGAGACAGGGCAGACCCCTAATCTTGAACCACCAGTAACAGACGGGAATGTTCCTGACTCTGAGGTCCCAGAGTCAAGCGGAGTGCCACTGACCAAGCGAACAGGAACGAGTATTATTGGTCTTTATGTGATCAACCTGATAGGTTGTTATCTGTAAAGTAGGCGTGGCTATATTAGCCGGGAATGTTTAAATACCGAGCAGTTTCAATGGACAAACTGTTCGGGCTATCAGATGTTGTACCGTGTTGGTGAAGTGATCCTGGAGCTGAATAAACCTGAGTTTTCGCTGAAATCACTCTCAGACTCATTGTTAAGCCCCGGACTTAACATCCTGTACGCTAATTTCCATTGTAACCACTCATTCCAGAAAGCCCTCACGTTGACTGTAGTAGCAAAAATAAAGCTGACGTTAAAAGACTGGCTTTTTAAAAGAAGCATCAGGGGAGGCAGGCGCTCTGCCGTAAAAACCTTCGTTAGAATAAAAACACTCGTTAGTCTTTGTGGTGCCGTAAAACTCTTTCTCACGATTTCCATTTGAGTTTGTTTTTTAAACGGAAGCTTTTGAAGGAGGTTTTTTTCCCCCACCACTGGCCCGCTCGGCGCATTCAAAAAAGGCTCGCTGCGGCTGTGGGCGGCACTTCCCTTCCCTTTCCCCGCCCTCTGGCACCACCCCCTGTATATATATTGTTTGAGGCGCCTCTGGCACCACAAACAAGGTTTAGCTTCTCGTCTCCTCAATGGCTGTTTGGTTCAAGCAAAGGAGAAGTTGTTTGTTCTTCCTCTCAGCTTTGACAGCGATGCCTGGGGCTTAAGTTTCCGAGGTCGTTTCTGCTGCATCTCTTTGCTGGACAGGTAAATAGAAATGGGGGCCCGGTGGGGGAGGGGGTGGTTGCATTCGCCTTCCCGTGGAGAAGGGCAGGGGGAGAGCGCGCGCATTCCAGGGGAGGGAGCAGAAGGAGGGGGTGCGCGCGCGGGGAGAGTGTTGCCTTGTTGGGATTTAGTGCAGCAGTTGGGGGGGTCTGCTGGACGCCTCCGAGAAGCTCCCAAACATAGGGTTGACAGCAGTTCTGCTGTGCTGCACAGCATTCCCCCCCCCCCCCCCTGTTCTGTGTCAGTTTGGTTGGCCTTAATAAAAGGCATTACACGTTCTTCATTTCTGCTTTTGAACGTTTCCAACGGTTGGTTTACTTTTGGCCTTGCAGTGAGTTTTCCCATAAAACTGCCCCATAAACCCAGCATTATTTGGTAAAGAGGGAAACCTCCGTGAAGCCTGAGGTGGGTTGATGAACGGAGGTAACAAAGGAGAGTGTCTGTCCAGTCATACAGGGCAGAGCGTAGCAAGTTGCTGCTGAAAATGCTTGTTTCATGTACAAATTCACACAAGTGCAGTTCATTTCTGTCTGGGCTGCTTACCGAGCATAGCTGGGGAAATACAATTCACCTTCACGCTTTTCTAGATAAGTTTGCTCAGCTAAAGTTTAGGAGGGGAATTGGGTGGGCTGTGTAAATTCATGACTGAAAGGGGTGCAAGTTCTTGTTTCAGATGTCTTTGCTGTTTGTGTTTCCAAATCAAACAGCAATTATATCATAATCTTCAAAGGAGAAGGCATTAAACAGTTGTAAGAGTCACAAATAGCATCAGATCAACCAAAAGCCCCCCTTTAAAAAACTCTTGTTTTATACAGCTCTTTCTGAACATTCATGGAGCTTCTTCACTGGGCAACCCATTTCACAAGGAATTTCATTCTGAATTTCACAATTCCATTTCATTCTGGTAGAAATGCAGCATCCATTATAGAGTGTTAAGGCTGCTGCCAAATGTTGTGTTATACTGAGAGAAATGCCAGGGTGGTTCGGTACTAAAGCATCTGCTTGGCCTGCAGAAGGTCCCTTCCATCTCCTGCTAAAAAGGATCAGGTAGCAGGTGATGTGGAAGCCCTCCACCTGAGACTGGGGAAAGCAGCTGCCAGGCGACACAGACTAGAATTACCTTGAGGGACCAATTGTCTGACTCAGTAAAAGGCAGCTTCGAGTACCTGGTAGCTTTGTGCTGCGTGCAGGGTTCATTTCTCCCTCTTTCAGAGAGCTGTGTGGGAGAACCGAGGTCCCTGTGGTTTAGCATTTAGAGGCTGCTAGGTGTGGGATAGATGTGGCTTTCTGTCCAGTTATGCCTTGCCTATTCCACGGTTTCAAAACCGTCTGTGATGGATGTATAATCTTTATATTATATGATTGCCATTACAATGTATGGAACTTTACACCAAAACAATAGGTCCCTGTCCTGAGGAGATTACAATTTAAAATGGGTTGCCCTAGCTTTCTAGTGTCCTTGCTCCTGAGCCTACGACAGCCACCTAATATAAGGCCAGGGTCAGAGGACATTTTCCCATCACTTCAGCTCCATCCCAGATTTGTTGATTCACCACACAGTTAACACACATGAGAAGTTGCTTGATATGGAATCAGACCCTTAGTCTAATCAGGCTCAGCTGCTCTGACTGGCTGCTGCTCTCCAGGGCCTCAGGCAGAGGGGTCTTTCAGGTCACCTACTCTCTGATTCTTCCAGCTGTCAAAGGGTGAACTTGAGACCTCCTGCAAGCCAAGCAGATACTCTGCTGTTGATTTGTGGTTCACTCCCCCTAGCTGGAGGGATCAGTTATAAAATCTCACATTATAAACCTATTACTGATTTTTCTAACACAATGGGAAGAAAGCTCTGTAAAATAATATATTTCAGATTGTTATTAGTAGGCGGAAGGCAATAGAAATATGCATTATTAAAGGTTTGAAAATAAGAAATAATTTCTGTTTTGTAACTTCTCTCCATAAGGGCATTGACCAAGAAGGAGGAGGAGGAGAAGGAGGAACAGGCACTTCAAGTTCTGCGAGAAAGGAGGAACAGACGCTTTTATGGCCTTTCATTATTTCTGTTTTATTAAGCTGCAAACATAGTCACCACAATTATTTTTAAGTGCAACATCGAAAGATATATAACATCCAGTTTGGCTGGACAAGGGTTCAGAGCAAAACACACCATTAAGTGGTATTTACATTGTGTTTTCCCTGATCACATAACATAACCAAACTCTGCTTTAGGCTGTCATCCATTCATCTGTTTTTTTTGGGGGAAATCGCACTAACAGAAGAGGCCAAGTTCAGCATAAACAGGACCTCTGGGTTAACTCCCTGAAAGATAATTTAGAGTTTGTGTAACCTTCTGGGAAGAAAGAGAAGATGGCTGGATCTGAAAATAAGAAACCAGAGGGGTATCATCCCGTAAACTCACATATAAAAGAGAATGGAGAAAGTAATGGAAGCATCAGTGTATACCTAAACAAACATGAAGCAGCCAGTTTGAAACCTCCACTTGGTAAGTAAAGCATAGGCAGGACTTCTGCCTCCACCTGGTGTCAGGGAAGATGACAATTTGTGGCTAGGGTGACCTAGAAATGCCAAACTATGATGATTTGTGCTTTCATTCCACCCTTCCTCAGGGAAGCTCTGGGCATTGTCCCTTTTGGAGTATACACATAATCTTCCCCTCTTTTTGGTTTAAAGCATGCGACCTTTGTTGATTTTTGCTTTTGTAACTTCCATAGGTTTTCAGTGGAAAACACATTTTGATGCTGACCCTTTTTGCAATCCATTCAAGTGTCTGTATTCTATAGCCAGTTAAATTAGAGCTAGGCACAGGGCAATGCAAGAACGACAAAGGAAGATAGTTTGGCAGAGTGGACCTTGAGACTTGCATTTGTCAATCTCAGATTTCATTATTTGTGTTAATTACGAATTATCACAGTAACACACACAACAGCAAAAAATATGTGGTAGACTAACAAGCAGTAAAGGAAATGTGTGAAATTAGTTATTACAGTATTGATGGTCTACTTTTCTGGTAAGATTTGAGTGTGCACTGCTTCCAGTCGTGTATCTCCCTGTGTGACTCTTTTTCCCTGTCTCTCACAGTATGTCACAGTGCAGCAGCAAACAGTTTCTTATAGTAAAGCAAACAATAGAATAGGGACCTGTACAACTCATATGGGCTGAGAAATGGTACCACTTTTGCTAGCTCCAGGCCCGTAGCTACAGTGGGGCATCTTGGGGCTAGACCCCTGACTTGTTGGCAAGGCCCTCTGATTTCCCATCCAGCCCAGGGTGTCACGGCCTTCTCCCCTGGATTAATTTGATTAGCCAGTGCCCCCTAAGGAATTCAAATGCCCCCGATTTAAAAAATCCTGGCTACAGGCCTGGCTAGTCCTCCAAATCAGTCTGAGGCAATGTAATTATTGGCAGGATTCTGTGAATGCAGAGGCACAATTTGAGTCCTCTTCAGCAAGAACATATATTAACTCTTCTGTTTGGAAAAAGCACCTGTTAGTTACAGCACACGCATCTGAAGTCTGAAGCTCACTTGGTGGTACATGAGAGGGGTTTTTTTTAGTGGCAGCCCCACGATTATGGAGCACCCTCCCCAGGGAGGTACACCTGGCCCCCCTCACTTTGAATCTTTAGGAGGCTGCTGGTGACAGTTTTATTTAGAATGACATTTGATTAGCACAGCTCTTTTACCCATCTGAAGTTTTAAACTGTGGTTGTAATTTGTTCTCTTATGTACTTCATGTATTCTCATGTATTCTGTTTTATGTTGTAAGCTGCCTTGAGTTCAGTAAGGTAGAAAAGCAGCTAATAAATGTTTATTTCTTATTTATTTAATTAGGCTTTTATACCACCCTCCCCTGTTCTGAATAAATAAATATTATACTATTGGGAATAATTAAAATGGCTTTGTCACTTAATTATTTCATCAGTATCTGGGAGTACATTAGGGATGCATTTGGTCTCCTTTATCCTTGCCACAACTGTGTATGATAGCTTAGGCTGAGAGAGTGTAACCGGCCCAAGACCATCTAGTAAACAAGCTCAGTCAGGCTGTTAGTCTAAGGACACTGAAAAGTACGCAGATGGACAAGTGATTTCAGCTTAGCATACTTTATTTATTGCGGAACAAGACAAATTTAGCCGGCTTGCAGGCTGGCTTATATCCCCCGTGAATCCACTACCCATAACCCCCCCCCCCACTTCCCAATAGGTCCAAACTAGTGGCCGAGAGTCCCACAGGCTCTCGGCCCGGAGCCTAGCCCTCTGATTGGTGCGGGCTAGGATCCGCATCCTCCTTTTTCTGTCATAGCGAAGCTCGACGCTTGCGCTTGACCACGTGGTGCCCAAGCTGACCATGCGGTTGGATCATGATACACTACAGACACTTACCTGGGAGTAAGTTCCACAGAGTAACATGAGACATACTTCCAAGTGGATCTGATTGGATTGCTCCCTAGGATATGAATTTGGGTCTTTTCAATGCAAATCTAATATCCTAGTCACTATCTGGAGATCAATAGTTCAGTCAGTTGAAAGGAATTTGACAAAGGAATCATTGCTTGTGGTATATGTGCTCAACCCACTTTTCCAGTTGCAGAGAGACCTCCAGAAGTCTATTTGAACAATGTCAACAGTAAATTAGATCTCCAGATGTCACCATGTCATGCAGGAAATTAAACCACATCTAAAATAGCTAAAAGCCATGTTTGATCTGGGTTTATGTAGCCTTATAAACAGGATGGGGGGGGGGGCGACATGAAAGGGTTGCTTCCCCCAGAAGCATCTGACTGGCCATGGGAAACAAACAGGATGCTGAATTAGCCCTCTTAAAAGGTCAGCAAAACAACATTGACCGCCCTTGTCCTGCTACAAAGACACTTTGTTTTGTTTTCCTGCAGTTGGTTGAGAGAATCGTGTCTGATTAAAAATCATACCTACTTTCAATTACTTGAAAAAATTAAAGGGCTGTTCTAGTTCTTGATTACAGGTTTTAAGCTAAGTGGCAGTTCTAAATTTATGTCTGGCTCCAGCGTGGTGGTGTTCACTGGGGTGGGCCAGACAAACCTGTCCAGCAAGAGCTCTGTGCTGTCAGCTGGAGAACGCTTTGGTTCAGCATATCCAATGTCCAGTCAGAAATCCTGTCCTAGCAGGAAAGGAGACTGAGCAGTCAAAAGCAGGAGCTCAGTGTCTGGAACAAGCTGCTCAGAACAACATCTTTTGCTTACTTGACAGCCCTGCCTAGAACCGCACTGAATCCTGGGAAGCATTAACAGTTGTTTTTTTCCTCTACAGGATTGCATTTTTGTGTCAAACGCACACCAGCTTTTTTCATTGCGGGTGTGAGTGTGATACTTAATCTCGCCCTGGTCATTGCCCTCCTTGTCTTATCAGGTGAGTGAAGAGCCCCACTGATCCCGTGATGCTGTTTTCTGTCAGTTATGAACAGCTTTAATTATATATAGAAATTAATGCCTATCAACCACCCTGTTGTCTCAGACATCGTGGTCTCTTCCCCAGACGTCACTTATTAGTCTTCTTTGTGTTCACTTTATTAGCCCAGAAGCGCAAGCATGTTTTTGTATGTACTTCAAGTAGGCCAATGAGCCCATATGGGTGGTCTAAGCTAGTGCTTCTGAATCTGCCCTGTCTTATGGCCTACCAATCATTCTGTCAAAGGACTTTGGTCCCACTGTTACAAGAACAAAAATCTCACTTTTCTTGAGAAGGACATTTATATGTTTACAGGTATTCTGTTATTACTGCCAGCATGGCCAAAGGTCACAGATGGATAATCCATGGCAGCCAGGGTTGGGAAAAGATGGCAGATCACACTGGCCCACAGGGTGAGAGAGCTAATTGTTAGTAATTGTTATGGAAACCCTGCATCCCACCTAGACTGCTTCTGTATTCCACAAGTGGTACGCATACTACTGGTTGAGAACTGCTGCTCTAAGCAGTAAGGTTAAAATAAGTTAGGCTGCAAACTGCTTTGAAAAGCAATATGGAAATAAGACAGCAGCCTGAGCCTCATGGAAACTTTAGTCAAAACTGTTAACCACACGCACCAAAAAAAACCCTAGCCAGATCACAACTGAGATTATCACATCCCTTCATGGTATCAAGATTCTGAAACAAATTAGAACTGTGGTCTTCAGACCAAGCACCTGCATTCACGGAAGGCTGCTGCTGGTTAAAAATATGTACTGTGGATCTTAAATGTTCTACTGTTCAAGGGAGGTACCTCTCTGTCTCCTAATGAATGGTTTACAAAGTGGGTTGGTTTGCAGAGCAGCCCTTTCCTATCTGTACAGCATTTCAGTGTCCAGCGACCGATCTATTATTCAAGAGCAGAGGAAGTTTTCTACCTTCTGATCCTTAGACCGATTCTTGGAGGATACGTCTAACAGTGTCTACTAGTCATGGTGACTAGAGAGAACCCCCATGCTCAGAGGTACTCAGCCTCTGAACCCCAGTGTCAAGAGGCAACATCAGAGGAAGGGCTCTGCTTCTATGCCCTGCCGTTGGCCCTCCGGAGGAACAGGTTAGCCACTGTGTGAGACAGGATGCAGGACTTGATGGACCACTGGTCCTATCCAGCAGGGCTCTTCTTACATTCAAGTTTCATTGAGAAATCTGAAATTCTGATTAGATAAGGTGCAAATCAAATTCATCTGATTGCAGCTAAAGTTTCAATTATACTATGACCATTTTTATTTATTTAATTCATTTGTACCCCCGCCTTTCTTCCCAGTGGGCTTACATTGTTCTCCTCTCCTCCATTTAATCCTCGCAACAACTCTGCAAGGTAGGTTAGTCTTAGAGCATGTGCCCAACGTCACCCAGTGAGCTTCCATGACACAAGTGGGGATTTGAACTCTGGTCTCCCAGATACTAGTCCGACAGTCTTACCACTGCACCACACCGGCTCGCGTTACAGTAACTCACCTTCTGAAATGCTTTTTATCTCCAGTGAGGCCAAGGGGACTGTCTCCAGTTTGTCCTACTTGCCCAGTGGTCTCCTGTCCAAGTGGCTGGATTGGATACCAAGGGAGATGCTACTATTTTGCAAAGGCTGAAGGAAACTGGACATCTAGCAAGAAACACTGTTCTTCTCTCAACGCTTCTTTGGCCGTGGTTGATTCCCAAGAAGAGATGGTGAGCCTGTATTTATTTAAGAATACAGTGATGGAAGCCTAGAGATGGAAGCTTAGGGATTCCGCACAGAATATAGACGCACCGAGGAAAGGAGGGTGGATTACACTGCTTCAGCTGCCCATGTTAAAATTTTAATCTTTGTAATTTTGGGTTTCAAAGCTTAAATCCTGAAAATCAGGGCTATTTTTCGGGATGAACGCACAGGAATGGAGTTCTGGCTGGCTTCTGAGTTGGCCACACCTACAGCCGAAACCTCTGCACATGCGTGGCTACAGAGGGAAGGCCTGGAGAGTGACCCCCCCAGCGACTCCGAGGTGGGCAGGCCAGGGGGGGCGGCTGGAAGGATTGGGGAGGCATTTAAATGTCTCCCCTCCGAGGGCTGACTTGCCCAGGCTCCTCGCAGCCACGGGGCACTCAAGCAAACCCCTTCAGGGGGGGGGTTGCCTAGGCAGCCAAGGGAAGGCATGGGGTGTGGCCTAATATGCTAATGAGATGTGCTGTCATGGGTGTGGCCTAATATGCTAATGAGTTTCTGCTGTTGGGTGTGGCCTATAATGCTAATGAGTTCCTGCTGGCCTTTTCCTACCAAAAAAGCCCTGCTGAAAATACTCATGTGCCTTTATTGGGATGGTGCTGCCTAGATCCCAGTGATCATTAGTCCCTCTGAAACTGATGCTCATCAGGACGAGTTGCATCTCTCCAAGCTCTGCATGGACCTCTGACTGGCAGGAAGCCCAGTTGTGCTGCCACCCCACTGAGCATGAGCTTCTGGGAGGCTGGCATGCATGCATGTTTTCCCTTCAGCGTAGATGACAGCCTAAATACATATGCTGCTACCGGGAGCAGTGATGCACCGATGTCTCCAGTTCTCAGTCTAGCAGGGCATACATTTAAATCCAAGCACCTGCAAGGAAAGCACAGTGTCTTCGGTTTCAGAAATCTTGGTTCTCTAAATAAGTCTCCTTTTTATAGACAGAAACAGAGCTCCTTAATTTAGAAGATGCGGTTTCACATCTGAATGCTAAATTGTATGATGGTGACACGTAAGAAGACCCCAGCTGGCAGGTCAGAGCCAGGACCTAGAGCATCCTGTTCCCCTGCCGGAAGCTCATAAACAGGCCATGGAAGAAGCACCTTCTCCCCCCCCCCCCAGCATAACTGCCTCTACATTTCCAAATTCCGTTTAACTATTTGCAAATTCCAAAGTAACTATCATGAGTTACTATACAAAATTTTACACACAACTGATGAGAATTTGTCGGTTTGGGGGGAAGCATCTAAGACAGGGGTCCCCAAGCTGGTGCCTGCCAATACCTTTCCTGATGCCCACCAACCATTTTGAGAAAGCGAGTCACAGGGCAAACCACGTATGTGTATGATTCTTCCTTGCCTGTCTTCTGGTAATCAAAATCAGGTGCTGGGTCAGATGTCAGGAGGTGGGGAGGAAGGGATTGAATCTTTCCTAGGTTGTTTTGCTGTTCAGAATCTCCCCTCTCCACCTACCTGGAAAAAAGATATCAGTATCTGTATTTCTTCTCTTTCTGGGTTGGAAAGCAGGTTGCAGTGGGTGTGTTTTGTGTGTGGTTCTGAGTAGGGAGATGGAAAGAACTGGGGATCCCTGCCTGTGATCATATTGGAGACCTCCCACATATGCTTTTATTCTTAATGTCTCTGGAAACTTTGGGTAATGTGTAGTTTGGCTTCTAATCAGACAAATAACTGCTGGTACCCGCAGCCTTAATTTTTGCACAGCATGAGATACTATAAAATTTCTCTGCACAATGCCTGACATGAGTGGGATCATGTGGAGAAAATAAGTGACTACCTCACAAGTGTGAAGAAGAACATACATTAAAGTTGCAACTGGCTCATGGCAACTCCATCCACTTAGCGTTCCAGACAAGGAAAAAGCTGAGATGGTTTACCATGGCCTTACTCTGCATAGCAAGCCCAGTCTTCCTTTAGGGTCACCCATCCAAGTGTTAACCATGGCCAGCCCTGCTTAGTTTCCAATCTCTGACAAGCTCAGGCTAAGATGGGCTATGTGAGCTGCTCACAGACATGTGCTGGGAGAAAGTCTTATTTAGTTTAAGAAATGACCTTCCTTGCCCAGCTTTTAAAGCATGCCCTTCCTTTGTAAGCTAAATCATCTCCTTATTGGGGAAAACAATCCAATTTCATCTTATTTCATCATCAGTGGTTTCCAGACCCAGAATTCATCCTAACAATGGCAGATAATTTTATTTTCCATCTTGAAATTGTTCTCTGTATTACCATCTTGATAAGGCCTTTGTCTTATAGATGATCTGTATGTGTTTCATGTAATTTCTACAGAGAATCAAATGGGGCACACCCAGAGTAGGATCAGTAACACGGACAAACTTTTCTTTTTTCAGGAATTTATGATGCGCTACAAAGGTTTTTCAGACCACTGGATTGGTCTCGAAAGAAATCAAAGTCAGCCCTGGACATGGATCGATGGTACCATTTTCAACGGCTGGTGAGTCTCTCTTCTGTATGTTTCAAGCAGGCCAAGTCCAGAAACCAGAACTTCTGCTAAATTATTCAGTAGTACTGGCTACGGAATAGTTAAGGCCATTCGGAACATCTCTAAGGATATCTGGTAATTCTGCATTCCCAGTGCATTTTAAACTACATTTCAACCAAAATGAAAACAGAAGAGAAAAAGTAGGAATGCAGTCTTATGAACAGCACTGGCCAAACCTCACCTTCCCTAGAGTCCACTGCCAAATCTCCAAGAGTTTCCCAACCAGGAGCTGGCAACCCCAGTCTGACCAAACAGGCTCTTGCTTACAAAAGCTTACTTTCATAAGGTATGGAGAAAAGAAAAAGATATATTATATAGTCCATGTCTCGTTTCACTCAATGAAACTGTGTTTTTTATTTATTAAGACATAAAAAGCGGAAGACAACTAGTTCTGTTCCTAAGGCTGTTTGGTACCACGTTTCCTGATGAAAGAAATTAGGCACTTTACATTGTAAGGACTAAGTACAAAATATAATTGAAAGGGAATGTCTACGGTGGTGTGAAAGAACTGTTCTTTGATATAGTTAACCACCACCACTCCAATTTTACTGAATTCATCTTTTTCATTGCTAACTTTCAACAGGGTTGTCTATTATTCAGCCTGATTTTCTTAAAAAGTCTGAAGCATATTACCGTTCATTAGTATCACAGAATCATAGAGTTGGAAGGGACCTCCAGGGTCATCTAGTCCAGCCCCCCAATCATACTTCTTGAAACCTATGTGTGATGTTTATTGGTCTCAGACCAATATACCTTTTGCTTATCTTACAGAAATTACTCTCCACAGACTTCTACACCAAATACATATAGAATTCCTAACCTGTAATACCTGAATGCCATGGGGCCTTAAGATCTACCAATAATGCAAGAAAACTAACTTCTCAATCAGTTATACTGAAGAATCCTTATACTGTAGACTACAATTACCACAGTTCCCTAAAGTGTGCTTTCAGTGCCTACAGTCCTACAGAGCTTTCTTTTATTGCTCACCAATCCCTTTTTGTCTCTGAAGAGCAATTCTTCTTTTCCAAAGGGCACCTTAAAGGTAAAGGTTTCCCTTGCTCGAAAGTCAGTTGAATCCGACTCTAGGGATGCGGTGCTCATCTCCATTTCCAAGCCAAAGAGCCAGCGCTATCCGAAGACATTTCTGTGGTCATGTGGCCGGCATGACTAGACACCGAGGCGCACAGAACGCTGTTACCTTCCCACTGAAGTGGTACCTATTTATCTACTTGCAGTTTCTTGCTTTCAAACTGCTAGGTTGGCAGGAGCTGGGACCAGAGACGAGAGCTCACTCTGTCATGCGGCACTCGGGTCTTGAACTGCCGAGCTACTGACCTTCTGGTCTGCAGTTCAGCATCTTAACCTCTAAGCCACCTCTTAATTAGCCACTTTCTGAAGCAAAAAAACAAAGCTGACTTACAGCCTTGTTCCAGATCATCTTCATTGGTTCCTTCTATCTGCTCTGCCTCTCTGCTCTGTCCTTGTAGCCTCCTCCAGACACTTGCTGTTTCTCAGGTGTATGCTGCGCCAGTCTCTTTTTCCTCTCTCTTCTAAGTCTTGAACTTCTTCAGGGGTTGACACAACAGCCCTTCCAAGGCTTCCTCTGTGGTCCTTCTACAACTTGCCTCTTCTTCCAGCTTGCAGTCTCTCTCTCCAGCTGCTCTGTAGAGTCATGTATTCTAAAGAATTTTAAGGACACAGATCAATGTTCCCTCTAAGCTGTAGAGTCCTGTGAGCAAAAATTGTACTTTGTGAGCTACTGGCATTAAAGTTGTGAGCAGGTGATTTGGCTACTGCATAAATTAGTGTGTTCTGGAGCCCTCCTTCCTGAGCCAAGGCAAAAATCTGTGAGCCGGAGGCTAAAAAACTGTGAGCTGGCTCACACTAACTCAGCTTAGAGGGAACACTGGACTCAGTCATGGACCTGTGGTAAATCCCTAAGGGAGAGTATTTCCAACAATGGAACAGGGCTTCATTCCCCCCCTCACTAAAATGCTGGTCTTGGGGGGGGCCATGGTCTCCCGGGGAGGGCATGCAAGACAAAGTAGGGGTCTTCAGCTGAGGATGACCCAGGCTAGCCTGATCTTGTCAGAACTCAGAAGCTAAGCAGGGTTAGCCCTGGTTAGTATTTTGATGGGAGACCTCCAAGGAAGTCTGTAGTCACTGTGCAGAGGCTGGCAATGGTAAACCACCTCTGAACATCTCTTACCTTGGGGTTGCCATAAGTCAGCTGCAACTTTTGACAGCCCTTTCCTCCAGCTGAGGAAAGGTGATAATCGCCCCCCTCCTTCTCTTAGCAAAAATGTACAACTCCATTTTCTTACACTCCAGGTTTACAATTCTTGGAGGAGGAAGCTGTGCGTATATGAACCAACAAGGTATTGCCAGCTCCAGCTGCTCAAGAGAAGAACCGTGGATCTGCAGTAAACCAATTCTGAGATGACACAGGGCTCTCTGTGCATCACGTGAGCTTCTGGTCCCCACGGAACACACGCGCGGAGGTACTCAGAATGTGCTGGACCCCCTGCTTTGCCTTCGCCTAAGCAGTACGAAGTTCTGGTCAGCCTTCACTGCCTTCTTCAGAAAAGAGAGCACTAGACTTACGATGTGTTTCTAATACTCTGTTAATATTGGTCGAGGACAGACAGGTATGTTTATTTACATAGATGTCCATTATCACGCCCCAGAATCTTACAATCTGACCCTAATCCAGAATTGATGCCATTCAGCTCTCCTTGCAAAGGCTGTCCAGGCTCAGGAAATAATCATTTCAGCTCCACCCCGGCAGCTAGTTATGATGGGAGGTCCACCTACTTGAAATAGGCCAGGAGCTCTGCCCAAGAGGACATGCTAATTTAGAGGGAGAACCAGTTTGCTGAACCAAACAGCAGGACTCACAGTGTTACTTAAATGCTGGACCACAGGAAGTCTAAGGTGGGCGGGGAGGGTTGCCAACTGCAGCTGGGAGGAACTGGAAGGCGGGGACAGACACACCAGCTTTGTACCAGTACATGACATCATTTATGGTGCAAAACTGGAACTAATGTAATCACATTGGGGCAGTGCTCTAGGAGTTGACCCAAACCTCTCTGGTCTTGTGTTTTAAGTGACATTGCCTGCTGGTGTGATGCAAGCAAACATCCCATCCCCCCCTCCAAGTCCGTGAAGCACCACCAGAGCCCCATATAAGTGGGTGGTTTTCAAGGCCCCCCTGCTGTGGGAAGCGAGACATTCTGGGACAAAAGGAAACTATAACAATGTTCTGTTTGCCCCTGGAAGAGAAAATAGCTTTCAAATGTCAAACTGCTAACATTTTGAGACTAGTCAAGGATTCCTACAGTGACATTTGGAAGAGCAAAATTGCAACAGTTGCTAATCTCCCAGAACAAGAATGGATAGTTTATTCTGCTTTAGAAACCATAAGAGGGCTATAATTCATGTCAGTGTGTGTGTGTGCACATGCACACACATGGATTTTGTATATTGTGTATCTGGTGATGATTCAGTTATGCATTTTTTTAAAGTTACTAATTGAATTGTAAGAATGCACTGTATAGGCATCATTCATGGTGTCCACTTTGAACTTGAATCTAGCACTCAGACCATCACTCTGGTATCTATTTTGAGGGTGCAAACTGGTCTTGCATTTGGCAGCACAGCATTCAGCATTACAGTAGACAATGTTATATTAACAGGTTACTCCCCTATCTTGGTTGGAAATACAATGTTTGTGGAGGAGGGAGCCTGTGCAGCAGGATGTGGACACCCTGTGTGTGTGGATCTGTGTTCAACAGGCATGCAGTGAAGCACTTGAAAATGCCTATCAAGCATTGCTGGACTTGTATATTTGAGCGTAGGGTCTTTGCAAATTTCCATGCACGCCTGGAGCTAAACATCCCCAATGATGTGCTAAGGACTGAGAAATCTGGAGTGGATGTCAGCAGTCTGGCACTCTGAGAAATGATGACATAAAAAGACTGAGGAAAAATGTCTCGCCACTCAGCCGTAGTCCCTTGCCTCCTGCAAAAGACAAGCCAAATAACCAGCCTGAGCATCGATATGGAAGTGTTACTGACTTCCTTTCTTTCTCCATAGATGAGATGACCATTTTCAGAGCCCCCCTTGTGGTGAAGATGAAAGAGGAGAGGAAGAGGGCTGAAGCTAAGAGATCCCAAGAAAACAGATGGCTGTGGAATAAGTTAAATGAAAAAAGGAAAAAGAACTGTGACAATTTAGCACTTGGTAATATATTCATAAATCATAATATACAATAACAGAAAATAAGTAACATATATAGTGAATGTAGACGGTGGTCTCCGGAATGGTGTGTTGTTTCGACAATGATCTTCTTCTGAACAAGGATGTGTACCTTATCAAATACAACAATACAAGTCTCATTTAAAAATATATATAACACTGTGCAAATATATAGTATGAATAAGAATAAAAATAGTATGAAACCTTACATAAACTGTCAACAATTCATTTCTCTTGGTGAAGTATTGAAAATATATTGTTGATTCTAAAAAGTACAACAATAGCTGTTACAATACATTTTCATTGTTATTCAATAATAATTACATCACTCCACATACATAAATGTTAATATTTTAAATAATTGTAAAAACACTCACCACTTCATCATAAAGCTATGCTTACAGCTATGTTCTGCAATGGGCTATAATTGCTGAATGCCTTAGCAGGTGGATTCTATGTAGGCATTATATCCTGCTGGTCTGTTTTTTCACACTGATCCTGTTACTACTCATAAACAAGTACACAAATCACCAACTCCTATGACAATCCATGCACATAGGTAAAATAAAATACACTAACCATTTATAAGTGTTCATAAGTAACATGTCAAATCCAGGGATGCATTCAAACCAAATGGATAAACAGTGTTTAATTTAAAAATCCAAAAGGCTTCTCGCCGCAAGAGTGTTTGTCGAATATCTCTTCTACAGTAATTGCTAATCTGGATCACTTCTATAACTACAAATTTAAAATCGTCATATCTATGACCCATTGAAATAAAATGGTCTACGAGGGGGGCTTCTATATGTTTGTGTTTAATTTTGGACTTATGTTCCAAAATTCGAGTCTTAATTGCCCGTGTCGATTCTCCAATGTATTTTAGCCCACAGGGGCAGGTGATTACATAAATGACCCGCTTCGTGGAACATGAAGAGTAACTGTTCAATTCTCTCCTATAGTTAATTTCTGGAAAGTAGACACATTTCGTTTCCTCACTCAATGGACATGCTGCACATCGCAAACACTTATAGTGACCTCTGGGTGGGATAGCCTCTTTGTAAAAAATCTCTTTCCAATCCATTTGCCGCTATGCAGTAATCATTTTCTACAGTAGAATTTCTTTTCAATCTTAAAAATTGTCCATATGGAATATCATTACGAATGTGAGCTGCATGTGAAGACTTGTAATGTAAATAAGAATTCTTATCTATTGACTTTTTGTATGGACGTACTGCCAATTGTTCTCCTCTAATGTAAATGATGGTATCTAGAAAATGCACCTGTTCTTTATTTATAGTGAAGGTAAACTTAATGGAGCTATGAACTAAGTTAACCCATTTCAGGAATGTCTCTGCCTCTGTCTCTCCATCAATAATCATGACACATCATCTATAAATCTTTTGTAAACTCTAATGTGGGTAAAAAAAGGGTTTACTGATTCATTAGTAATCCACTGGGTTTCAAAAAAATACATAAACACATTTGCTACTGAGGGGGCAAAGGCACTCCCCATTGCTATTCCCTTGATCTACCAGAAGAAACTATTTTAAAACCTGAAAAAACTTTTTTCAAAAATAATGTCTATTAAGTCCATTAAAAATGGGTGGGGGGGATCTGTCATTTCTCTGTTCCAGGATGTTTAGGAGATTAAGGCATACTTAGTCATGAGGGATGTTAGTGTAAAGGGATGTTACATCCATAGTCACAAGTACTGCACCTGAAGGAATCCTCATATCTTCAATCTTAAAAATAAAATCCTAAGTGTCTCTAATGTAGGAAGGGATATCAATTATGAAAGGTTGTAAAAACATGTCAAGATATTGAGAGATGGGTTCTAGTAAAGAGTTAACTCCTGACACTATCGGGTGTCCTGGTGGGGATGTAAGTGATTTGTGGATTTTAGGTAGGCAGTAAAAAATGGGAACTCTGGCATGCTCATTAATCAGAAACTTAGCTGTGTTGAGCTTCCGGTCGGGGGGAAATGGCGATTTGACGCATCTTGCAATCGTGCAGGGTGGACGGGGGTTCCTTCTGACAGTTTGGGCTACTATACAGCCCAACGCAACCTTCCCCAGGTAGGGGGAGAGTCAAGCAAGCATCAAGACCCGAGAGAGATTGGGGTGATCAAGCCTCGAAAGAGACTTGTTTCACACTTTGATTGGGGTGATCAAGCCTCGAAAGAGACTTGTTTCACACTTTGAATTCGTCTCCCGAAGAGGGTGCCGCAATCAACGCTACAGGAGCCCACCGAGCTGTGAATACAGCTTAAAATCGCCATTACCCGATCTCATGGACAGAGGGGAAAAATCTGGAACTGATTGAAACAGTGCGAAGACCAAATTAAACAAGCAAGGTAACAACGTCAATTTTACTCACCGGGTGACAGATGAAAACGTAGATGAAACTATCCAGGGAAGTATTGGCGGACAGTGAATGAGAATTGAACAAAAAATTGCAGATAAATATATTCCAAAAGCAGGAAAAATAGAAATTAAAACTTTGTTGTACATTCCTACGGTGTTGAGAATAGATAAGAAACTGAAACTCACGTTGTGGATCACGAGAGCGAGGTCGAACTAAGACGAGAGAAGTTAAAACTCTCGCCTTGACAAGCTGCGAGGAGTAGTTTCGGCCGAAACGGAAGTGCGCGGAGGCTAAGAATTGAGACGTCTGGAGGTCTAAGAGAGGCATCGGGCAGTAAAGGATAGACCGGAAGAAGATTGGACGATCGATGACGGACTGTAAGCTAACCGGGAGACGACGGGGGATAAAAAGTAATAGCGAACTGGGCAAAAAACGGAAGTCAAGGAGGAACGATTAAAAAGCAACACAGGAAGAAAAAGGTACACCGGAAGAGGCACCAGTTAACTGTTGCACAAGAAATAGACGAAAAGGGGCCTTCTCTATAAAAAAAAATCATATAGTCCACCATTTTGTGGAGGACTGAATCTTTAAAATTAAAACTTTAAGCGTTGGAGACAAGTTAGAACAGCGAAACCAAGGAGATTCGACCAATTGCATCAAGATCTATCGTTTGGTTACAAAATAAGTCCTGTTTGAAGAGCAAAGACGGAAGCGAGGTTAAGACCTAGAGCAGCTTCCTTTTCAACACCGAGGATGGCCACCAAGAAAGAAAAGGAATTGCAGGCTACAATGGAAGCGATGGAGCAGAGGATGACAGACGCAATTCAAGAGATGGGAAAACAGATGAAAGAGTTGCTAGTGTCAGAAGTTGCTGAATTAAAAAAAGAAGTGGGAGAGAAGCTAGAAAAAGAAATGGGAGAATTTAAAAAGGAGTTCCAGAATCTGTCACAGAAGTCTTCTGAAATGGATCAAAAAATGCAGGATATCAGCCCAAAAGTGGAAGCAGTAGCAAAAGACTACAAGACGTTGGATACAATGATGGACTGCAGAGCTATGCAAACACATTTAAGGCTAAGAGGAGTTGAAGAACAATTAGACAATAAGATAAGAAGCAGAGTGATTGAAGCCATTATGGAGTACCTTAAAGATGATGTGGATGAGACAGAATTTAACTTTGATTTGATTTATAGAGTGAATTCAACCTATGCAACACAGAAGAATCTACCAAGGGATGTGATTGTGCAGTTGGTTACCAAAAGAATGAGGGAACTCATCCTGAAAAAGCGAACTGGGCAAAAAACTGGGCGAAGTTCCCTTTGTAATAGATGGAAAGAAAATCATGGTAATGAAGGAACTGCCAAGACAGATCTTGCAAGACAGGAAAAAGTTTAAGAAGCTTGCGGATAAGTTGAGAAGCCTGAACATAAGGTACAGATGGGAGATACCACAAGGATTGAACTTTACCTACCAGAACCAGAGGTATACAATTAAGACTTCGGGAAGAATGGCAGAATTCATGTATGAATTTGATAAAGACTTTGGAGACAAGTAAAAAGAAAACATGATTGATTACAAAGTTTTATCGTGGAATGTAAATGGACTGAATTCACCCAATAAAAGAAAAATTGTGAGACATTGGTTAGGGAAGCAAAAATGCATGTGATTTGTCTACAGGAAACACATATTAGAAAACAGAATTTTAAGTATTTGGCAGCCAAACAATTAGGAGAAGAATTTTATTCATTGGCAACAAAAAAGAATAAAGGAACTTTGTTATATGCAAAGAAAGAACTGGAACCAAGAGAAATTTTTAAAGATAAAGAAGGAAGATATATAGCGATTGAAATTAAGGTGCAGGAAAAGAAAATTTTAATTGTAAATATTTATGCCCCAAATGGGGCAAAAGAGAATTTTTTTAACGATTTGACACAAGATTTGGACCAAGTGACACATGAACAGATTATAATGGCAGGCGACTTCAATGGGACAGTTAACCATAAACTAGATAGGAAGTCATGTCAAAAAGACGAAAAATCTGGTAAACTGCCAAAAGTTTTTTTTGAGTTGGTAAAGCAAGAGAGGGTGGAAGATGTATGGAGGAAATGGAACCCGAAGGTTAAAGATTTTACATTTTACTCGAATAGACATGACTCTTTTTCAGGAATTGATATGATATGGGCAACGGGAGACTTAGCCTAAAAGACAAAGACAATTGAAATAATGCCAAAACACAACTCAGACTATAATCCAATATTATGGATAATCAAAGGAGAAAGGAAGAAACCAAGATGGAGAATTAATGAAGATTTATTGGACCAAAAGGAGATTGTAGAGATAATAAATGAAGAAACTAAACAGTTCTTTCTAATAAATATGGCACAAGACATGCCGATTCAAGTTGTATGGAACACATATAAAGCAGTAATTAGAGGTCTTATAATTTCTTTAAATAGTAAAGAAAAGAAAAAGAAAATGGAACAGCAAAATAGAATTATAGAGGAATTACAGACAAAAGAGACAGAATTAAAGAAACAACCAGGAAAAAAGAAAATAATGAGACAAATACAAATTTTACAAGAACAATTAAATGC